CGATGGGAAGCTTTACCCATCGATGGGAACCCAGCGATGGGAAGGCTTAACCATCGATGGGAAGGCATGACCGTTGGGAGTCATTTAAGGCTGATTCTTTCCTTATTTGAAAGTCAACCTCCCACCCAGCGATGGGAAGCATTTACCCATCGATGGGTAGGTAACCGTTGGCTTCAAAACTGAAGGAAAATTGGCTTACCAGCGATGGGTAAGTCCTAAACATCGATGGGAAGCCAATATTCTGCAGATCCCAAATCTTTTCAATCCCATAAATCAAGCCAATCACCCCTTTAATGCATTGGTCCGTTGGAGCCTATTTTGGCACTATAAAAGGGGGTGTTTGGGTCTGCTTTACATACCAATTCACTTCACAATATTCATATTATCATTGCATTCAAACAACATCATTTTTCATAGCTTTCTAGAGCTAATTTGTGAAGTTTGAGTTGTTCTTGAGTGTATATAGTTTACTCAATATCTACTCTTAAAGAGAGTCTTGTTCTTGAGTGTCTTGGTGTTGTATACACGTTAAGGGAAGCTTGTTTCCCTTGGTTGTACGAAGGAAAGGTATTTTCCTTCGGGTTGAAGTCTTGGAGTGCGGTATCTCCGAGCAAGGTTGTTGAGGCTCGTGGGACTCGAGTTCTCAGGTTGTAATGGTTTGTTAAGCACCCGTAAGCTTAACGGAAGTAGTGTAGCTCGAGAGAGTCTCTTGGGAGACTGGATTAGCCACACGTTGTGGTGAACCAGTATAAATCTTGGTGTGCTCCCTTTTCGCTTTCTACGCTCTTTACTTTTCGCGTTCTTAATTTTTTATTCCTGCGATTTCTACGATCAAACGCTATTCACCCCCCCCCTCTAGCGTTGGTCACTTATTCTAACAAATTGGGCCAATACGGAACAACTTCAGGCCCAAAATCACGAGAAACCGCAATTGGAAGCAAAATGGGCGCTGGATTCGGGTCCTGGGCGTCCAAAGTTGGACGCCTGGGGTAGTTGGACGCCCAAGCAAGGCTGGTGACACGGAAATGACACGCGGCGCAGCAGGAGTGGATGGAACACGTGGTCAGGGGACGGGCGTCCAAAGTTGGACGCCCGTACTCCCTGCCCTATAAATATACCGAGGGTCCTCACTCATTCCACACCATCTCTCAACCCCTTTTCGGGTTTTCTACTAAATTTTGCTCCAAATATATTGTATATTAGTTTTATTAGTTTGTTTGAAGTATTTTCGGAGGTTTTGACTCCAGATCTGTTCAATTCCGCTTGTACGGAAGCTGTAAGTTTCCTTTATTCAATAAGATGCTAGTTTAATTTATGTTTGCATAGTATGAGTTAGGGTCCGGATCTCTGGGTCCGGACTAGTTTGGTTATTTATTTTTATGTTAAATTAATATTGGAATGGTTAATCTATTGTTATTGCCTTATTTGGTTAATTAAACTCGAAAGATTTAATTGGCCATTTATTTAGAAAATATTGTATGCCAAGAGGCTATGATGTTCAAGTGCAACGGATTTTGTACAAATCTAGAAATGGATGAGTAGTAATAGAAATATTATTATTCCAATTGTTAATTTAATATGATAAAATAAATCCAAAGGATGTCCAGACCCTAGGTCTAGATCTACACTTATACTATGTAGACTTGTTTTATTATTTTTACTCTCCCTTTTTATTCGATTCCGAGAAGACTTTCATAAACCAATCCTAATCTTCGCCTAGTTAGAGTAATTAAACTAATTCCCTTCGTCCACTCCTCGAGAGATACGACACTCGGAGAGAAAACTAACCCTTTATTGGGAAGGTTTACTACCCGAAAAACTATAACTGCCAAATGGCGCCGTTGCCGGGGAGTGGCACGGCATTAGTTTAATTTCTTCTGATTAGCTTGGGTGAAGATTGGTTAGAACGATCATCTCACTTCTTTTTCACCAACCACCCGTAATAATTATTATGGATAACTCTAGGGGTTATTACGGCCCGCCTTCTTTCTACCAATCACCCAACCACCCTCCGTTTCAAACCCATCCACCTTATCACCCACATCAGAACCCATATGATGATGACTACCAAGTCAACAATGGGTCTGACTACTATCCCTACCATGAGGAACCACCATATGATACCCCATCTAGGAATTTTAGATATTCTCCATACCAAGACTTTGATGGGGATGATTATTATGAACCTCATGGTGATCACAATGACTATGACCAGAATGGGCCTATGTACGAAGACCGACCTGATCCGCTCGTCGAAGAAATAATAAGATTAGAACAGAAAATCTTCCATTTCGATGAAGTTTTATTCGCTGAAGGATCCTGGTACGAACCACCCTACTCCCGTGACTACACTCTGTTTGCTGAAGAACAAATTGAAGCAAACAAGGTTGCAATTCGAGAAAGAGCAAAACTTCTTGAATCAGTCCGGAAGGAAAAGGAGTTCGAAAGGAGATTATGTGAAGGATCAACGTTGATGCAAAAAATGCTAGACGACTTTCAAAGAGAGAGACTAGAAGTTGAGGCAAAAGCCGATAAATTAGTCAATGATCTCTGTAAGGCTGTTGAACTTAAACGCTCCCTCCAATCTCAAGATCAAATGAGGGAGATTAATGTTCAAAAAGAGGCTCTAGAACCTAAGACCAACCCTGAACCCATCAACCAACAGGTTCCAGTTCTAGAAGATTCACCTAGTCCCAAACAATCACAGAAACCCGAGAGCATAACAACTCTCTCTAGGGCTACTGTGGTGATGTTACCTAAATCCCTTCCTAGCCAAGTCCCTGCCAACATAGTCGTACATGAGGTGGAACCAACTGAGGGACCTGACTCAGAACCATCTATGGTTATTCAAGAAGAAGAGAAGGAGGAGGAAGTTTTGCCTATGGCAATAAACGACCATCTCCTTAATTGTGTTGAAGACACACCTGTTCTGGAGGAAATAGAGCCCACTACATTTTCCCAAGATTCTAATGCCCAAGAGTTCGAGGAGGAATCTATAGATGAGGAAATACTTTGCACTGATGAACCAATTCCATCTATAGAAACCTGTGCAAATAATGCCTCATCAGCAGATTCAGACCAAACTTTATTTGACTCCTTACCTGACAAGTGTAACCTTATTTTCCCGGAGAATAGTTGGAGCCAAAGGAGTTGGGATGAACTTCTGGTAAGTGGTATTAAGGACTCTTCCATGGGGGAAATCACAGTCATAATCATTGAACCACAAATTGATAGTCAGCCCATTGAATACAAGGAAGAAATCAATCTTCCTAAGAAGGCCAATGATGTGGATCAACTAAGGAGACATCCGCCACCACCCACCTATCTAGAGTCTCCTCCTTTTATCATGTTGCCACCAAGCTACAGGAATGAGTCAAGGATCCTGGACCTTGACCGAGGAAAAATTCAAACAGGGTGGCATCAGAAGAGAGTCAGAAGGGCCAAACTTTATGACTCTCGTATCGGAAAGTCACGGAAAAAGTGGGTGAGCGTCAAGCTACGGATGTTAAAGAAGCGCTTAACGGGAGGCAACCCGTCATTCAAATAACTAAATAATTTAATAATCTAAGTAATTTTGTTGGTTATTTTTGAGTTTCTACTTGCCGCACCAGTTTTGGGGGCAAGATTTTATGTGTTTGTTTATGTGTGTGCAGATACCTCATCGTCCTTCTTACCCTACTGTGGACCGCAATGAGGTCCAACTGATTGATGCTGCTTCTAGGACGAGGTTCGATGAGTGGGGACACTCGCGAGTGCTACACGAGTCGGTGTGTCTGGCTCAGGACACACTGACGGACTATGGCTATGCAGAGGAGATGGAGGAGCTGCTTGAGGGCACCAGATGGCAGCGCCTGCTTTAGATGAGGGCAGAGTCTAGCCTACCTCTGACCATCCAGTTCTTATGCTCGATATCTGCTGTCCCGGAGATTGAGTCATGACAGATGACTCATACCTTGATCACTGCTGATACTACATTTGCCTTCACTCTTGCGGGCCGGTCATTCCAGTTGACAGTGAGAGAGATGGTTGTTCGTCTCGGGCTCTACACCCAGGAGGAGACCGAGCAGCCTGAGTTCTACGACGATCCCTTTTGTCTTCCCGCAGATTTTGACGCGGTAGCTTTCTGGAGGGAGCACTCATCTGATGACAAGGAGTTCATCAACAAGAAGAGTAAAGCGCGATACTGGATTTGGCCCAGCTGGAGGATCCTATCTTTTGTTCTTTCGACGTCCTTCTTTGGGAGGCCGTCGAACACTGATAGGGTCTACAAGGAGGATATGTTTGTTTTCTGGAGCTTGCACGACCGCGAGTCGGTGAACGTGGCGGTGTACCTCGCCAGATTCTTATACTCCCAGTCCTACGGGTGTAAGATATGTACTAATATCACTCTTATTCCCGAAGTGGAGGGAGCTAGAGAAATTGGTGACTACAGACCTATTGCTCTATCTACCTTTTTTAGTAAGATGTTGTCCATGATTGTGGCTAACAGACTTGGCCCTATGCTGAATAAAATAATCTCTCCTGAGCATGCTGGTTTTCAAAAAGGGAAAGGTATTGAGGAGCATATCCTCCTAACCAATGAATTGATGCACAAACTAGACTCTAAGGTTAGGGGAGGTAATGTTATGATTAAGCTGGACATGGCCAAAGCCTTTGACAAGATCTCTTGGAACTACCTTCAGGCCATCCTTCAAGCTTTTGGGTTTAATGAACAAAGCATCTCTCTCCTTCTCCAAAACTTAAGGGCAACTTACATGTCTGTTTTGGTGAATGGGAAACCCAATGGGTTCTTTAAAATCAAGAGGGGAGTCAAGCAAGGTGATCCTCTTTCCCCTCTCTTGTTTATCATAGGATCTGAGGGTTTTGCAAGGAGCTTAAATCATGCCATCAATTCTGGATACATCTCCCCTTACAAGGTGGGAAAGAATAGAGTGGTATCCCATCTTGCTTTTGTAGATGATCTTATTATCTTTCTTAAGGGAGACCTTGGGAATATCCTAAGATTTAGACACCTTCTGGATAGCTATCTTAAGGCTTCAGGACAAGAGGTTAATAAAAAGAAAAGCAGGATATTCTGCAAGAAAGGGAGCAGATGCTTATATACTAGCAAGATGAAAGATACTTTAGGGTTCAAGGTGGGAAACCCTCCTTTCAAATACTTGGGTTCTACTATCACTCAGGGTAAACTAAAAAAAGACTCACTGTGATCACATTCTTCACCATTTTGATGCTTATATCAACAATTGGTATAGTTCTACGCTATCAACTTGTAATAGATTACGGTTTCTATGAATTTTAAAAACAGTTCTACGCTATATAAATATACTCCTGATAGAAGAGAGTCTTCTATTCTTATAATAAACAACTATGCAAAAAAACCGTATGAAACATACAACTAACAATAGATTACTATTTCTTATAAGTTTAAAAACAGTTATAAACTAAAAAAACGAGACTACTGTTAAGAAATAGTAGTCTTAACTAATTATTGACAACTGTGGCAACAAAAACTGTATCTTTAGATGAAACACACTACTAATAATAGATTACTATTTCTCACAACTTTAAAAATAGTTCTACCCTTAATTCATAGACTACTGTTAAAACAGAGTCTTCTATTCCTATTATAAACAAATGTGGAAAAAAACAATATGGAACAGACAACTAGCAATAGATAACCGTTTCTAATAAAATTAAAAACAGTTCTAGACTAATAAACCATACTACCGTTTACGTAGAGTATTCTTAACTTGTTATTAACAACTGTTGTAACAAAAACTGTATTTTGAACTGACACAGACAACTAATGATAGATTACCGTTTCTCGAAAGTTTAAAAATAGTTTTAAAGCATAGTAGCTAGACTACTGTTCTGTAGCCAAGAAAAACTCACAGTAGTATGTTTTTTTTTAACTACTGTGTTTCCATAAACAGTAGTTAATCAACAGTCGTCTGATACTGTTTTTGGCGTAGTGACTATCAGTTGAACAAATCGTTATCATTTACCTCGTATCATGACTTATTTGATCAGCTTAAAGAATCCATTGTATTCTTTAAGATTGACTTACGATCAAGATACTCACAAATCCTTGTTAAGAAACTTGAACAAACTGACGATCAACAATTTTTATCCTTTACTATGAACTGACGACTTATTCGATCAAATTCAAATATACTGCTTATTAGAAGCTATAGACCGCTCAACCTTGTTAAATAAACATCAGCCTTGTTATGAAGCGATTAATGACCTAATTGTTTATCATCGAAAACATCGATGTATTCTGATTGAAATAATGAAGTAAAGTAATTGACTCGTTCATATACCCTATTGACATGAAAGATTGCGGCGTGGTGACGATACAAAAACAAGACGTGAAATAGTGACACCAACAGTAAAAGACTGAAGAAGAAATGTAGCTCGCACTGGCCATACAACGTAAATTAATTAAAGATAATATCATTCCGACACAAATACAATTGGGATTACATGAAGTAATATTACAAATGTAACTCCAAATATAATCCCCCGGGATTTGCGAACTCGTCATAATTAGCACCAGGACCCGGAAAAGCTTTAGCAAACTCTAGTTTGTCTAAAAGCTCATCAACAAAGAAAGAAGAGATGAACAGTTTCCTCTGATTTAAAGCCATGAAGTTCTGTCTCACCGCGTCATCTAGAAACTTGATTAGGTTATTGAAATAACCATCAATGTTCAAAAGACCAATGGGTTTACTATGTAAACCTTCGGATGCCCATGAGATCAAAGTGAACAAACCTTCCATAGTGTCAATCCCTCCAAGAAGTACGATGAAGGCTTCCACAATATGATTCATCTCGAAATACTTATAGTAATTGCTAGAAACAGTGTACTTGTAACGCCCCACAAACCGGCCTAATATTTAGCCAATATTTTAAATAAATAAATATGATTTATTTATTGAGATTCATTATTTTAAGTAATAAATATTGAGATTTCGATCTCATTAAATGGGCGTCCAAAGTTAATATATTTTAATAACGGGCCTCTCAACATTAATTAATTAAATAAATTAATTAATGATTGAGATGGATCTGAAAGTTTGAAAATAAAGTTTTTAGAAAAATATTTTGAAGATTTCATAAATTTAGTTTTTTTATTTCCGGAAACGCAATCGATTTCCAATTCGGGCAAGCTCGGGGGGAAAACGCATACCGTTTAGGTCAGAATTTACACAACAGAGTGAGTTTTAAGGAGGTAACTCCCCAAACCAATCCACACGCCACACCCATCACCATGCATTCCCCATTTTTAATTCTCATTTACTTTCCTCATCATTCCTCCATTATTCCTCCATTATGTCTCTTCAATATAAACACCCTCTCTCCCTTCCATCTCCTTCACCATTTGTAACCCCCACACCATCAATACACTCTCAACCCTCCCACTTCTCTTTGTATTCCGGCTCAGCAGCCACACCACGGAGGAAGGCCGACGAAGGAGAAGAAGAGGAAGAAGAAGGAGGAGGTGCTGATTTTGGAAGCAAAATCCCGTCAGTCCACTTTGGGTAGAATTTCGACCATCTTCAACTCCGTTTTTGGTCGTGGTTTCTTGAACAAAGTTGTAGCCCTGCGAGTTGGTGAACCATAGCCGCAAACGGTTCGTCAATCGGACGGGTAACGAAGTCGATACGGCCGTTTTACCAAAACTGGTCCAGCGGCGTCGGAAAACGCGAGGTTTAAAACTTCCGCCTCCGTTCTCATTTCGTTTCATCCGATCCGATATTCATTGAATGCGTGCCGACTCTTCACAACCCCTATAACATATTCGCGAGAAGAAACGGAACTCAAGTAGCCGTTTGGAAGTCGGAAGGCCAACGGTTTGACAACCGTTCGTTGACGTTGATTCATTCGGTCTCTTCTAATGTTGTGTCGTATCCAAGGTATGTACACCCTAGATATAACGGAGGAATCTTTAATATATTTATATGCAAATACGTTTGTTGTTTATATGATTATTTGTATATAGATTCATATCATGATATATTCTTGATCTATTAACGTTGCATAGAGAACAACGAGGATTCCAACCGTTATGAAATTGAATGATTAAACAAGGCTAAATGGATGTTGAATCCAGTGTGAACAATAAGGATTGTGAAATAAAAGTGGAAACATGGTTGGATTATGAAGAATATGTTTAGGCTTGAGGAAATACCAATGAATATCACAATAGCATCACTAGGTACGTGAAAGTGTATAAATTTGACATGTGAATGAACAAGTTGGAAAACACCTAGACCACATTTAGACGATTACATGAACACGTAAATCCATGCCCAAATATATGTGTTGTACATGTGTGAACGAATGTGTATTTGCTACTTTATATGCTCTACTACTTGTCATAACCTTCGTTGAAACCGTATGATCGTAGTTTTCTCGCTATAAGGCTATATGATATGGAACTCGTTGGAAGAGAAATCATCTAGAAATCCATTTGGAATCTAGAGGAACTCAATATTTAGATATATTTGTAAATCTTACATATTCATTATAAATTTCAAATGGTTGAACGCAGTTCGATAGACCAAAGTAGAACCCGAGTACTATGATAGTAGACTGTCAAATTTTGATAATCTACTATCAGGTGCTGCTGAACTCTGACAGTCGATTATCACAAAGTGACAATCGATTATCAGAGGCTGCAGAAGTTTGATAATTGATTATCAACAAGTGATAATCGATTATCAGGGGCTGCTGAATTTTTAGAAAGATCTGAAATCAAAATGCTTTCAAGGTAAGAATCAACAGTTGAAATATGGATTAAAAACCGAGACTTAGCTTTCAATATAAGCCTTCGGGATCATAAGTCAGGCTCTTTGAACTTAGGATTTTCTGAACAAATCAACTTGACAATCGACTATCATAGGGTGAAAATCGACTATCACAGTCTGCAGGATTTTGGGGACAGAAGCTGCACAGCATGATAATCGATTATCAGCAGTAGACAATCGATTATCAGCCAGCTCTGATCCTAAGGCCATCATGTTGAGCAAATTGTAATCAAACACATGTATGCGTAGAATTTAATTTCCTTCTTCAATCAATGCATTCATTTCATCATGTTCATCCTAGACGTATGTTCTAGGTTCGTCATCATGTGCATACCGCTGTAGGGAGGTCAGGCTTTCGTGCACTTACTACAGTGGGCCCGTCCAGGAACCTTCGGGATCCAACGGGTTTTCATCTGGTGGGCTTTGTGTATGTACATGGTAGTCAAGTTACGGCTACCACCCGGTTTTTGCTAGTTCACTTGCGACGTTTTGTCGAGCCCGGGTCATTACCGGAGTGCGGCGGTGATCCTGTCAAGTGAGACTAAGTCAAAGGTGTCCCTAATAGCGTAGTCTAACTCATGCATCATGAATCATCTGGCATTGCATCGTTTGTAAATAATTATGCAGATCTTAATTATCAAATTGTATGTGGTATTGCAAAACGTACCGCACTTCATATCCAACATCGTCGATGACAAGGCCAAGGTATTTATAATTGGATAATATTCCAAAATGAATCTCCATGATATGTATATGTGTTTCTTGTATCTTGCGCTATCTACTATGCAAGCATGAATATTATGTGGCTAATGTGATGCGTAGTATTTAAGTATAAATATGTTATCGATCTCTCGCGTTATTGTACCACTTAGCTTTATGCTGAGTGTGTAGTCTTTTTGTCTACACGTAGGTTGAAGCACAGATTATGTGAACCACCCGGAGGACGAAGAGACGATAGGATGGCAGGTTGACATGCATGATTTTCACAAGTTTTGCATTTGAAGTTTTGGGTTTGACCCACATCATTGTATTTGTATTATTTTTAGTCTTCCGTTATCTCCGACATTTTGTAAAAGGATCGATCCGAATTTAATATGTTATATTTTGAATTTTTGTCTTATGAATTTTATTTAATGATTTGGAAAAGTTTTAAAATATTTCTCCCGTTCCACCTTAATTCTTATAATTCCGGGTTATACGAATTGGGATGTTACATTTTGGTATCAGAGAAAAAGGTTTTAAATTCGGTCTTCTGACCATTTGAAAACATGCATTTCCAAAACTGCATTTGCATCCTAGAATCGTCTCTTGTCTCCGGAAGGTAATTATGTTATGTGCTCATTTGGTTAAAAGTTTGACTTTACATGCTTGTTAGATGAGTACTATTGATACCAAGAGCGTGTCAAGCATTGATTCCAATGGGACCTTCGTGCTCGGTAAGAGACGAAAGAACAAGAGGAAGATATACGACTCCAAAGAGCGTTACCAACGTGCGCACCGTGAAGCAAGGATAACAAAACTGAAGATCTGGAAATGCCGGGAAGCGGCATGGTAAAGAGATGACCCTGAGGAAGCATTCAGTGTGGACTCTGCTAATAGTATTTTTGGCGGAGGCGTGGATATTCCACTAGTGGACTCAGCCCGACTAGGCTAGTGGGTTACCTACTAAC